AGAGGAAAAACTCCCTTTGAACAGGAAGAAACCTCCAGCAGAACCAGGCTCAGTGTGAGCGGCCATCTACGGTGGCCAGGAAGTGCTAACCAACAATACAAAATCTGAAACACTTTTACAAATCTTGAAACAACTTTACATTTGAGAAAACACTTTTACAACTGACAAAATCTTGCGGAAAGGGAGGGACTGTCTTCAAAGCTTACCCGGAAGTGATAACCGGAGCGTTCATGATGAACCAAGATGGAAGCCAATCGAGTTGCTTTTTGCCCTTTCTGCGGCACTCATGAGCAGTTTAACACGGTTTTGTTTTTCCTGCGGTCAGTCTTTGGAGTTTTTAAATGGTACGCAACAGACGGAAGAACCGGATATGCTGCAGCAGTGCATACATTATTTTAATGAGGGTCACTCGTACGCTGTAATCGTAGACATGATGTCATGTTTACATGGTGTACACATCAGCTTGAGGTCTCTGAAAAGCAAACTGAATAATGCTGGCCACTATCGCAGAAAAGATTTCTCTTCAAGAAATGTAATAATTAGGGCAATAAGACAGGAGCTCCGTGGACCCGGACAGCTGTTTGGATACCGCACCATGTGGCAGGTACTTAAACAAAGGTACAATCTGCAAGTGAAGCAGGATCATATAATGTATTTGCTATGGGAGCTCAATTCTAAAGGGTGCGAGAGGAGAGCACGCAGAAGGTTTATAAGGAGAACCTACCACTCTATGGGACCGAACTATATGTGGCATGTGGATTGTTATGATAAACTCAAGCCATTCGGTTTGGCTATTTCAGGATGTATCAATGGCTTCTATGTGGACCAACAAATAATCACCCAGCTGTCATTGCTCAGTATTTCCTGTCATGTGTGGGGAACCTTGGTGTCATCCCAATGAGTTTAAGAACTGGTTGCGGGACGGAGAATGGGACCATGGCTGCAGTTCAGTGCACTAGGGCTGCAACAACGAATCGATAAAATCGATAAAAATCGATTTTTAAAAGCGTTGGCAACGAATTT